GAGGTGGAGTTGGAGTCCCAGGAAATCAAACACACACAGGAGCTGATGTACAAAAATACATTTATTTGAAACGATTTCAAAATGACAGTTTCCTTTACGGTAGAAATATGGAACGAAAGAGGAAACAGAACATCACTGATGACGCATGCATCGTAGCGTTTGTGCACAGGGAGCCTCTCAGTGCTTCCTCCCTCCAGCAGACCCCCCCCCCCCCCCCCCCCCCCCCCCCCCCCCCTCTTCCTCTGGAGACCAGACGCTCTAATGTGGCCTTCAGGCTCCGGACCTTCAGGGGAACCAGAGCAGCTCCCCCCGTCTGATTCCAACACAAACTCATCTGTACATTTGTTTTAAAGTATGCAAATGAAGGAATCAGGACAAGAGCTGGAGCTGGTGGGAGCTGCAGGATTAAAAGATGTCGGACATCTACGGGTCAGTGAAAGCATCACATTTCTGGAACTGTTTCCCTCTGGAACTTAATCACAGACTGATGTTCCACTTTTCTCCACAAGACTGAAAAAACGGCTCAAAGACAATCAAGAGTGTGAGCACTAAACTGGCTTGTACTGTACAGTTTGTTTAACTTCTCTTGTTTTTTATGCATCTGGCTGAGTTCCCACCCCCCCCCCCCCCCCCCCTTAATGCTAACACCTTTTAAAAGCCTAACCAGGGACGAGGGCTACAGATTAGCCCACGGCTACAAGCCTTATGCACATGGACATCGGCCACCTGTTTGGTTGCAATGTTTAATTGTACTGTCCCTGTCAAACAAATAAATAAATAAAAATAAAACAACATGGGCATGTAATGGATTCAGATCTTTACAGTTTCTACAGAAAAAGGGAGGATTCACTAAACTTCTAGTCGTCTCCTTTCATGCCGCTTCCAGCCCCGTTTGGGAGGATAACCCGAGTCAGGACGCATCAAGGTTCCCATGGAAACGAGAACCGGGCCGGGCCAAAGACCCAGCAGCCCAGGCCTGAAGCAGAGCATTGTGGGAAAGGGAGGCTACAGGAGAGTCAGTCTGAGGCCGTCCGGCTGGACCAGAGTCCAGAAACCAGACTGAGAAACCAGTCCTGTCTGAGCAGCCAAGTCACGCTTTTAGGCGTTTAGACAAATAAAAACCAGAGAACGAGGCAAAACAACACAAAACAAACTGCTTCCCTCAGTGAGGAGCGGGTGGGAGGCTGTTCTGGAGGAAGAAGAAGCTTCTGTGGACCATAAACACCACAGCTCTCTGCTTCATCAAAGGGGAACAGCTCCTCTGGAGCCGGGGTTCAGGGGCCTATTTTCTGCTTTCTACATTCATGAAAACACAGTCATGCATAATGAATTGGATTTGTACCAATAGAATCTTCCTAACTGTGGAACCACAGAATCCTCGGCTCAATGTGGCACACTTTAAAATGTCGTTTCCTCCAGAATAAACCGGTTTGCCTGCATCTCAGGGCGCCTTCATTTATCTCTAAATCTCAATGGGATTTCATTTTGCACAGCAGAGGAAGGCGGTGCCTCCACACGATGCATTCACTGACCTCTGAGGTCAGTAAAAGGAGCCTCTGACCAGCATCCTCCTTAACCCTTTAAAGCCTGATCCAAGAATAAAACAAAACAGAAAATTACTTTTTGTCTGGAATCAGAGACATGTTTCTGCAGGTCATATCGAGCTTATTCCAAGATGGTGATGTAAAATCTAAAGGAAGTGGCACCATCCAGCCCCCCCAGGGGGGAAATCCTGTTCCATATTTGCTCCTGAGGCTAAATCCGAGCTTTCAGAGGCAGAATGAAATGAGGGACGCCGGCTGCATTAACTCAGAGAGTTCCTCCTTTAGTCCAGATAAAGACATAATGCACAGACGCTCTCAGCCAACAGCGTCCAGAGTGAAGCACGACAGAACAAACCTCTGCAAAATAAACCAGCTTTTTTTGTTCTTTTTCTTGTTTTAGACACCAGTTTAGAAAAGAACTATTTACAACACTTTCTTATCTACAACACAGAGCCCGTGTCCTCTGGAATAACATGCACGAGTCAGGGAGCTGAGCAGAACGGGTGTGTTCAGGGACACTTCAGAAAACAGAGCGCTGCCGGGTCTCCAGCAGATGTAGAAAGGAATCTATATACATCCAACAGAACAAAGGTAATATTGTACATTTGGATAATATTCCCTGTCTGAAGAGCCGGACCTTAAAGTCTACATTTAGGCAGAAATGATTCTCAGAGCAAATCCTCAGGAATTTTTACACAACTCTGTCCACAAAAGATGTTTCACTCATGAATGAATGGCGGTATGCAGCGTTTACACCACAGATCTGGAGTTTAGTCAGTAATTACAGTATCTCATTAAATCTGCTCCTCATGCAGGTCTGTAGAAACGAGGCTTTAGAAAACTATTAACATCGGTTGTGTCGATAATTACAAAACAGAAAGAGACGGGCTGGAAGGCCGTGGCACCTCGCTCTGTACAGCCACTCTAACCCTAACCCTAACCTGAACCCTAACCCGAACCCTAACCCTAACCCTAACCCGAACCCTGCCTTCACACGCTGGTGCAGTTGGGGATCTCCCTTGTGCTCTCACAGGCGTTCCCGACTCCACCTGAGAGGAAACAAGAGAAAAGACAGAGGGTTACAGCATTTGGCTTTAAATGCTATAAAGTGCCTCAAATCCAGGAGTTATCTCTGGAGCAGCGGTTCCCAACCTTTTTATTTCATTTTCTAATTGATCAAACTGATAAACGTTTACAAAATTCAAACATTTGGTGGAAAAAATCTTTTCGAACATTCGAAATGTTTATGACTAAATGTACTGCAAATGTTTATCATCACTAAAATGTAGCAATTTAAACTAATGTACTGATAAAAATGATCATATAACCATTTAAAAACTACTAAATCGACCATTTGAAACTCCAAAAATGTGCAGAAGACTTCTCATTTGTAGTCGTCTCTCTTTAACTATTTGGAAATAAAAATATAGAACTATGAAAGGAAAAAAAACTTCATTACAAACTCAGATTTGTACACATAAAATGATCATCAACATAAAGTGTCCTCTTTTGGGATCAGAGCAAGGGCCTGTTCTCAAGAAGATCTTTAACTTTATTTTGAATGAAAGCAGAAATTGCAAAAAAAATATATAATATTTCTTAAAAATAATATATAATATAATATAAATATAGAAATATATTATATATTATAATATAATATAATATAATGTAATATAATATAATAAAATAAAAAATATTTTTTTAAGAATCTCATATGAAAGCCGCTCTAAGTTCAAATGGTGGTCTTCACCATTTCTGAATATCAGAACCAAATGGAACCAAAAGGAATTAAAATTAGTTTTAATCTAAAGATAAACCCACCGAGCCTCTATGAAGAAAAACTACCTGAACCAGGACAGAGTCTTGTCACGTCTGGGGGAGTTTCTGGTGTGTTGTCATGTGTTGATTACCTATTGTGTTCCCCTGGGGTTCCCCTCCCTCATGTGGTTAAATAGTCCTGATTCCCATGTCCTGGGCCAGTGCGTTTTCGTCTGTCTGTTTTCGTCACCCCACGTCAGGTTTGATTTTGTCACAGCCTAGTTTACTGCCATGCCATAGCCTTGTTTTCCTTATTGCCATAGCCATGTTTTTGCCATAGCCATGTTTTTGTCATAGCCATGTTTTGTCACAGTTTTGTTAATCTTGATTTGTTACCTTGCCATAGCCTTGTTTACATTATTTGATACTTTGTGTTCATAGTCATGTTTAATCTTGATTTGATACTTTGTTCATAGTTTTGCCACAGCCTTGTTTTTGAACCTTGTCCTGTCATCGACTCTTTTGAGTGTGTTTTTGTTCAAATAAACCTGTTTCACATATCTCCGCGACTGAGCCCTCCCCCCTAAGCTCGGCCCTCCTGACAAGTCTGGTTCCTAAACTGATCAGAGACCTGAACCAGAGCAGAACCAGGTAGAGCTGGAGTCTGAGGAGGTTACAGGCTGTGGATGTTTATTAGCTTCTAAGAGAGCAGGACGGGCCCTTTAGTCTGACTCACGCTTGGCCCTGGCGTCCAGCTCCTTCTCCAGCAGCTCCTTGGAGGCGGTGAACTCGCTCAGGGTGATCTTGGGCGTGCCGTCGCCCGGGCCCACCGAGCCGATCATCTCCTGCTCCTTCTCCTGGTTCACCTCCGCGTAGATGTTGATCCAGGGGATTTTCCTGCACATTTCAGAGGAGTCACTAACGGGATTACTCCTCAGTAAGAGGCTCAGCAGCTAATTAGAGCCACATTCACATTTTCCCTGCATTACGCTGTGATATACATCTTTATTTATGCGCCATCCAATTTATTTCCAATTACTCCGCTTTCCGGCTATTAATCGCAGTGTTTTGTCAGCTGTGAGACTTCTTGAAAAATGCATCTCTTTGGACTGATGGGAAAAAATGTGCTATCCATAATTAATGACAGCTTTTCCAATTCTGGCCGACTCTCATTTTGAGTATGAATAATTAATCCAGCAAATAAGACCCAAGCACAAAAAAAAAAGTGTATCTGTTAACTTAATGGTTGATTCTCTGCATTTAACCCCCTCACACATGAAAAATACATCAGGACAGCGTTTAACGGGAGTCCAATCAGTCAGTGGAGAAGAGCATCCTGGAGGAAATGGACGCACCTCTTAAACTTGTAGATCAGGAAGACGGCCAGGCCCAGGAAGACCACGGACAGGAGCATGAGCATGGCCGAGCTGCTGTGTCGGGGGGTGGAGTCCACCAGGGGCGCTGTGGGGCAGACAGAGGCCAGCAGGGTTAAGAAAAGGCCCCCCATTCAGGTCTTTAACCAGCAGAAGCCACACAAAGCACAGCCCCAAAGCATCCCCCTGCAGACGGTAGGAAACCAAGATGTCTAATGTCCCTGAGGAGGTCCTCTTCTAGATTTTGGACCTAAGGTTTGAGGTTAAGTTGCATCTGATTGGACCATCCCTGGACTTGGCTCAGACCAATCAGGATTCAGGTTTTTGCTGGAGTATACGGGTTCTTGATGGTTCTAGACTCTGAAACAACTCCATCCTGAAGCCCTTTTAGCAGGAAAAGCCGGACAGAAAAACACCTGCAACGTCTCCAAATGCCTTTAAGAGGCCGAGAAGGAACATTAGAAACTTTATTTGGAGCTTTACTGCCTGAAAAGTTCAAACGGATGAATGTTCACATATGAAAAGAGGCTTTATTGATTCACTGTGTGGACCAAACTGATTTCTGAAGACCTGGATGCTCATTCTGTCTCTGTTTGTTTAGTTATATGCAGTAATAATAATGAGGATTCACTCTGCTCTGGGGGGTGGATGTGTCACTCTGAAGATCAGCTCCACTCCTCAAAAGCAAAGCAAACTGGATTAAAAAGGAAATTATAGCAGATACGACCTCTTTAAGAAGCAAATGTGGAGAAGTGATGACTTTATACCAAGCCAAATCATTCACTGGTGAATTTGGACCAATAAACAGATCAAATCCACACATCCATGTTCTCCCCCTCTTACAGGCTAACTGGGTCGACTCTCCACTGCTGACACAGCGAGAGAACAGGGAAAACTATCAGTAAAGTCCCCCCCTTCAGGAGTTTCTAACGTCTGAGATGTCAGAGGTGAGGTCCAGGGAAACTGCTGTTTGGGGTGACAGAAGCAGGAAGTCCACACATGGGTCAGCCCCCCCCATGAGGAGCCCCATGAGGAGCCCCATGAGGAGCCCTGGTGGAG